TGCATGTCGGAAATGCTGGCATCCGTAGATGTCTGCTTGGCCTGAATTTCATTAACTTTTGCTAGTAGTTTAGCCTGGTTACTTAATATTTCCTCCAGCATTTTTTCAACCTCGGGCCCAGGATTTTCCTCTACGTCACCGGACAACTTCAGTAACAGGCTTACAACTGAAACACAGTCATTTAAGCAACCAAGAACAGTGTGTGGACACGGCAGCACAATCAGGCAGGTACAGTTACTACGAAAACCATACTTTCGATCACCAACCTGCACAAGTAGACGCACGTAAGGCGACATCATCACGGCGTTGCTGCCGCGTCCACTAACTACGAGAAAAACACGCACAAAAAGTGTATCCGACCAAAATAAAAAATCCACGGCTGAAAGTGCGCAGCGACGCCAAGTCTTCAAACGGCACGTTATTTTGTACACTTCATACTTATGTCATTTTTTAAAGTCTTACTGTATGTGTAGGTATTGAAAAAACCTCCACAAATTTGTACAGCATATAATTTTGTACAAAAGTTTTGCTTTCGTATTTTATAAAAGCGCGCAATTTTGGCCGCGTCTGCTGTCACCAGGTGGCACGAACCTTTTCGAGGAAAAATGGATTTAGGCCGGGTCGACGCTTGGAAGACAATCTTTTCGTCATAACCCAGACCATCGAAATTTCGGCAGCACAGGGCAGACCAACATGGCTACTGTTTCTGGACATAAAGGGTGCCTATGACAACGTGGACAGGGGATTGCTGTGGCATATACTGGAAGAGGAGGGGATTGGGTCGGAATTTGTAGGGCTGCTAAGGGCAATATATGAGGGTAACAAGGCACACATTACATGGGAAGGGCGTACATACACAGAGCCCGTGTACATTCGAAGAGGTTTAAAACAGGGGTGCCCTCTTTCGCCATTGCTGTTCACACTACATTAGAGGAATGGAAAGACGTCTAGAGGAGAGTGGATTGGGCTTTGATTTGTCACACCGAAGCAATGGAGTGTTAGTGGAGCAACGGATTCCGGGATTGATGTACGCAGACGATATAGTGCTGCTGGCGGATAATGCGGAAGAACTTCAAAAACTGGCTGACATCTGTGGTGATGAGGCAACGTACCTAGGCCTACATTTCAACCCACGGAAATCTGGAGTCATGGTGTTCAACGAGGAAGCTCATGTAGCACCAATAAGGATACAACAGGAAGCCATACCATTAGTAAATAAGAACAAATACTTGGGGATCTGGCTTAATGAAGGAAAAGGCTACCTGAATGCTCATGAAGAACACCTCAAACTGAAAGGGAGACGAAATGCAGCAGTAATGAAACATAGAGCACTTTGGAATAAGTACGAGGTAGTACGAGGCATCTGGAAAGGGGTAATGGTGCCGGCGCTCACGTTCTCTAATGCCGTATTATGCTTAAAGTCAGATATCCTGTCGGGGCTGGAGGTTAACCAAAAGGCAGTCGGCAGGTTAGCTCTGGGAGCTCACAGTAAGACTACAAACGAGGCTGTACAAGGCGATATGGGTTGGGCTTCATTTGAGGCGAGGGAAGCACAAAGTAAAATACGGTTTGAGGAGCGACTTAGACATTTAGATGAGAAGAACTTGGCAGCCAGAGTGCACAGATACCTGTACCTGAAAAGTGTGGACACCAAATGGCGGAAGAGGACGCGAAAGCTGGCGACTAAATATAACTTGACCGCGGCAAATAAGCAAATGGGGCCAGTTAAAAAGCAAGTGAGGGAAACAGAGACGCTCATGTGGAAAGAGAGGATGGAAAAGAAGGGATCGCTGGGAATCTACAAGGCAAGCAAACAAGAGATCCGGAAAGAGAACTTTTATGACAACAATAAAGGTAGTGCGTTGCTCTTTGAGGCGCGGGCTGGCTGCTTGAGAACTCTAACTTACAGGAGCAAATATTCGTCACAGGATGAGACATGTGTTGGATGTGGCATAAATAAAGAAACAATCGACCACATAGTCATGGAATGTCAAAAGATTCAGCCGGATAGAAATGGGGGGAAGGTCACACTTCCTGAGGCGCTGGGCTTCGCGGTTGATGGAAGCATTAACTGGTCAGCAGTAGGTATTACCAGAGTCCTTCAATTTTTTTCTGGTCACGAAACTCCGCCTGAAGGTTGATATAGGGACAAAATCTGTCGCTAGAGGCGCCACCCGTCGTATGGGGGCCACAAGCCGCCGCCACTGCTGGGCTTGTATGCGCACTGCGGCCGACGTTTCGACGCGATTATGTGCGTGCTGTTCTTCCTGTTACCTTTTTTTAAACGTCTCTGAACGCATCAATGCCAACAGATAAATAAGTTGAAACGGGATCCAGTGTCGACGACGAATGAGAGCTGTTTACTTTGGAATGCACGCGTAGTTTACTTGGAAGTGCGGGCCCACCTTATAAACAGCAGCGCATTAAAAGTGTTCTCACACCGCGCGATAACGCATTGTGTCAATAATTGTCTCATAGCCCAATTATATGCATACTTACGATGCCTCGAAGCGGTAGTTGCGAGCTATAGCTCGCAAATGTTGAAAGACGATGCTTATGCTCCATGCTCTTGATGCGAGCAGCTACTGCTTGATCTGCTCGACAACATGTTTGTATTTGCGCCCGGCCAAAGGGCGATTATGTTTATGCGGTAGGTGAGCTTTATATTCTGGTAGGGCCGCTAATAGGGGGAGGAAGGTGAACGAAATGAAACACGACTGGGTAATACAGGAGCAATCACATTGGTTTATATCCGGCTCGCCTCTCGCGCGCTACTACCCAAGTATTCAAATGAACTGAATGCTTGAGCCAGAAGTTTTATTCCAGACCTTTCAATTGAGTTTATACTCAAATGCGCAGTTGTTTTGGACACACGTTTGTGAGCGCCGATCGCTTTTTTGACGCAGGGGCTTTCGATGCCGAGGGCTTTCGCGACCGCTCTAAACGTGCCCAACATTTGATTGATCACTTCTTTCCACGCAGTTTACACGGGACACCCGCCGCTTGACGTTTCCTTGTGTTTACTGTTTAGGGCATTATTATTTACCGGCCGACAACCCATGATTTCTCCGGGAACGGAAGTACAGCAGCCTAATCTGGAGGTTCCTTTTGATGCCAGTGCTAGTCGCTTGGCCGCCTCTGCCACTACCGAGGTACCTCATCACACATTTGTTTTTATTTTTTGGGTGGGAGGGTGGGAAGGGCGTTTATGATTTCAGGCATGCAATAAATCTTAAACTTGGTGCTAATGATACGCCGCCTAGTAGTCAGGTGTGTACTTATGAATGGGGGACTCACATATGGTGCATGTAATGGGGAGAAAGTTGGAAAACATTTATTTACACAAAATACACTGAGAACAACACTTTGGAGAAGAAAAGCACTAGAAACTATTGCAGCTATTCTGAGCAATGTTACACAATCTGTGACTCTACTGTACAATGTGTATTTCGTTTCATTAACAGCTGCACTCTGCCTTAGCTCACTGCCTAAAATAAACTTTATTTGAATATACACTATTTACACTATATGCAGATAAATATGAATAGTACGAAAGTATTACAGTGTAATGTATACAAGATATACAACACTATATACAAATGGGAAGGCGTGCTCACATACACAGCCATTATGCTTAACACTGTGGCTTCCGCCCACCACTTGCAGGGCATGAACTGCGCACAGTTGCCCGCGAGGCTTTGTTTTTTTCTCGAGTGAAGAAATGTAATCTACATCTAAAAAAAAGTGTACAACCACAGCTGTTGTCTCTAAAAAGTGCAACAGACACTTCTCCTGCCGAGTCGGTGTTGACATTTTGGCATTCCACTGCTGCGCATTACGGTGACAATTCGCACCGCCTCTTCGATGGTTGCCTCTGAGTCGCAGGCCGTGAACGCGGTTTCGGCTTTGTCAGGTACGCCGGGAGCCCGTCAAAAATTCTTGGAACGGCGTTCGTGCGAAGCCTCGGTCTCTCTCGCTGAAGCGACACGAACACCCCGTTCACGATGTGCTCGTCGGTTCTCACAACGTCGCTGGCATCAAAATGCTTTTCCCACTCCCGAACGTTCTTACTTTCGAAGCTGAAACCACCAGCTTCCAACCGTGGTATAGCTCGCTTCTATTTCTCTCGGAGTTCGGGGCTACTTGGGAAACAGAAGAGCAACGCCTTTTCTTTGTTGCTTCGGTATCCGGAGCTGCAACCCGTCACACAGCACGTCTTAGGCATTGTTTATTCGGATTTTCATGCCGTCCACCTTGAGCACGGTGCACTGGCACATGAAGTTCGCGTTTCGCTGATGCAGAAACCGCGAGCTGCCACCACACAACGCCTTCGGGATGCCGCCGCGGCCAGTGCATTCCGCCGGGCGCAGCGGGGCGATGGCCCCCCTAGGACGGCTTGCGCCGCGTAGCGGCCGCTCTTGGCACCATATCAAGCTCTCCCATAGAGTGACGGAGAAGTTTCGTGACCAGAACGGTATTAAGGGACTGTGGTATTACTAAGCAGCGGCTGGAGTATTGGTGGAGGAAAAGCAGAGAAGTCGATAAAATAACATCCCAGCCAAGAGTAGCGGCTGGGCAAAATTAAAAAGACATCCGAGTTGAGGGACAAAATTTAAACTCGAACTGTTAAGGTAGGCTAGATGGCGCATGCCGTCACCCCGATTCAAAGGAGAGGCCTTTAATCATCATCATCATCAAAAGCGGTCGATTCACCCAATAGCCGCTTAAAACCAGCTTGACTTGGCTGAAAACGTATGAATAGACGGCGACAGAATCGCCGTGTTGGACATTTTTAGGGACGTTTAGGTGGTGGGAACGAAAGGTCTAAGGTTCTTCACTAACTTGTGAAGATCTTTACCGTGCGGTGGTTATTTATCCGTGGTCTTTGCTTGGCCGGGAGCCTTATGCATTCGCGAGAACCGCCTCTGCGCATGGATACGTGGTCTCGTTATGTAATACTGTCTATAAGCAATGTGGTAACGACTTGCTCGATCATGAACACCGTGTGTTATGCTATTTGTGGATGCATGCCGTACGTGTATGTCTGGTAAGTGCGTGTGTAGCGTAAGGATCGATGTGTCGCTTCGGTGAAGTGTATGCTTGCGCCAAAACTTTCATTGAAGCTTTGGCAAGGTTTCTTTTGGCGTTGCATAAGTTTGTTGCCAGACTTTAGGGTGGTTGTTGCCAGACTGCTGCTAAATTTGGCCGAAAAGTTTTCTCCTGTAGTTGTGGCTTTTCCGTAAGAGTTTGGTGCTATCCGCGGTGCATTTCGCCAGGCGTACATAGCTGTAGCATATCCGACATACCCTAGTTAACCAGCCTTGGAACGCTTATTCATCACATGTATATACGAGTCCGAACGATATGTCTTGTGCTGACACAGCTAAGGGAAGCGTAGCGTCCCCCGTCGTAGCGCGCGGTCGACGCGACACGATCAGCTGAGAGGATGGATGGATGGATGAAAAACTTTTATTGGGGTCCTGAAGGATTCCACCCCCGTTCTATAGGGGTAGGATCGCGGGCCGCTCCCACGTTGGGACGGGGAGGCCCAGCCTCACCGCCGCATCGTGCGCCTTCTGGACAGCCTTGAGTTGTTCTATGAGAACCGGACTCAAGAGCATTAAATGAAAGGAGTTCTCAGAAAATTCTTCATTTTTTCTTTGTAAAGAGGGGCACCTCCAGAGCATGTGGTTAAAATCACTGCGATTCTGGCAGTCTGGACAAAGTTCTGAAATATCGGAGTAATGGCTATAGGTTACGAGGCTAGGGTATGTTCCCGTCTGAAGCATGCGAAGAGAGATTGCCTGTGGCCTGGACAACTTTTCGTGTGGCAATGGAAATGACCTACGGCCTAATTGATAATGCTTCGTGATCTCGTTGAAGGTAGTCAAAATGTCCCTAAAATGAAGGCTGCTGGCTGACTCCTCTGTCTGAGAAGCACAAGTCCCGGCGCGGTAAGTGAAGCCTCGCGCCTTGGAGTGGGCTAGCTCGTTGACATTGGGAAGGCCTCCAACCCTCAAGCCAAGGTGAGCAGGGAACCAAATAATTGTGTGGTGGGTGAGTTCCTTGTGAGCGAGAGTTCTCAAAACTTCCTTGCAAACGGAACCAGAAGCGAAGGCCCTAGCAGCGGATTTAGAGTCCGTATAAATATCAGTACTTTGTGGATTAAGGAGTGCTAGTGCAATGGCCATCTGTTCTGCTTTGTAAGAAGAAGGGGTTCGAACCGACGCCGAGGATAAAATCTGACCCTTAGTATCTACGGATACTACCGCAAAGCAAGCGGAAACGCCATACTGGGCGGCATCAACAAAGCATGAAACAGACGATTGTTTGTGAGCTTGAGCTAAAAGAGAGGAGGCTCGAGCGACACGCCTGCCCGCGTTGTACTGTGGATGCATATTTCGTGGAAGGGGGCATACTTTGATGCGAGAGCGTATATAATCATCGAGTGGCGTATTTTGCACTTCGAGCGTCAGGGGGTTGACTCCAGTGTCAATCAGCATCTTTCTCCCCGCTGGTGTGATCGAAAGCCTGGCAACCTGTGCCGTTTGTTGAGCCTCGATAACTTCTTCAAGCGTGTTGTGGACTCCAAGTTTCATAAGGTTCTCAGTGCTTGTGCGCATAGGAATGCCAAGAACTTTCTTGATGCTTTTCCTTATGAGGATGTTCAATTTATTTCTTTCATGGAGTTGCCACCTGTTCATAGATGCGACATAGCTTATGTGGCTCATCAAGAATGCATGGAATAGTCTGAGGAGGTTGTGCTCTCGAAGACCACCCCGACTGTTGGAAATGCGTGAGATTAGTCGGATGACCCCTTCCGCCCTAGAAGTCAGACGGTCAATCGTGCGGCCGTTCTGTCCATTAGCCTTGATAATCATGCCCAGAACGCGTATGAAGTCCACCCTTGGAATACGCTGCCCCGATGCCGTGTGCAGCTAATGTCGATGTCAGCCAGTGGTTGCCAGTTTTTGGGTTTGGGTCCCCGTCTCGTGGGTCGATATAAGAGAAGTTCGGACTTTGCTGGCGAGAGCTTGAGGCCCATTTCATTTATGTAGACTTCAACACTGTCTACGGCCTCTTGAAGGGAGTTCTCCACAGAGCCCTCCGAGCCACCGACACTCCATATGGTGATGTCGTCCGCGTAGATGGCGAACTTGATGCCCTCTTGGTTTGAGAGCTTTGCAGCAAGGCCGCACATTGCAATGTTAAAAAGCAGTGGGGAGACGACTGAGCCCTGCGGGGTGCCGAAGGAGCTGAGATCGTAGGGCTCAGACTTGAGATCCCCAAGCTGTATAGTGGCTTTTTTATTCCTGAGGAACGAGCTGGTGAACTTGTGAAAGTTGGCTCCTAAGTTGAGAGAAGAGATGGAGGCAAGTATGTGGGAGTGCGAGATATTGTCAAAGGCCTTTTCAAGATCCAGACCGAGAATAGCTCTAACGTCTTTTGTCTCCTGATCTATGATGTGATGCTTCAGCATTTTCATGACGTCCTGAGTAGATAGGTGTGGTCTAAAACCTACCATGTTGTACGGAAACAGGTTAGTCTTCTCTATGTGCTTTGATATTCGATCGTTGATGACATGCTCGGCGACCTTGCCTATACAGGACGTCAGTGAAATGGGTCGTAAGTGGCTAAAACTGGGACTTCGACCAGGTTTAGGTATTAGAATAACCGACGCCCTTTTCCATTGCTCAGGGAAAGTCCCCGTCTCGATTGATTTCTTTGGTGAGGTAGGTGACAGAGTCATCATCTAAATTGCGTAGTGTCTTGTTTGTAATGCCATCCGGGCCCTGGGCTGGAGTTCCCGTTAAGATTGTTTAAGATGGTGCGGACCTCTTCTTCCTGGAAGGGCTTGTCCAACTCGAAGGCTGGTGATCCCGTGTATTGCGTGTAGCCAGAAGGAGGCCGGGTTGTGTCCAAAGGGAGGTATCTCTGTGCCAGACACTTCGTTATTTCCGTGTCCGATTTAACCTTCCTTTCTGAGTGCAGTATTCGGTCTACCAAGCGCGTCTGGTTGGATTTAGATTTGGTCTCCTGCAGCAGGTGTTTGAGGAGGTTTCATTTTCCCCCAACTTTCATCTGACCATCCACCTTGTTGCAAGTCTCGTCCCAATGCTGTTTTTCCAGCGTCTGACAGTAAGTTGTTATTTCTTGGTTAAGACTTGCGATGCGTTTTCGCAGTCTTCGATTCATACGGTGTGCTTTCCACCTGGCTAGGAGGGCGCTTTCAGCCTCAAGAAGATGAGCAAGCCTACTATCCATTTTATTGACCGGTAGATCAGTCTCTATCGTTTTGGTGGCCGACTTGACGTCTTCGACCAGCTGAGACAGCCACTTGTCGAAATTCGGTGAGTCATTAATCTCTTCTGCGCTCTTCGCTCTGATCTTACGGAAGAGGTCCCAATCTGTAAATTTGAAAGCTTTAGGGGGCTTTGCTTGAATTTGTATGTCGTACTCAAAATTCAATGGTCACTCCCCAAGTTTTCTCCTAAGTTTAACCATGATACCTCCCCCATGGTTGTGACAAAGGTGAGGTCTGGGGTAGTATCCCTAGAGCAAGAATTTCCAGTGCGGGTAGGAAACGTGGGGTCAGTGACCAAAGTAAGATTCAGATCCGATACCGCTTGCCAGAGCTCGGCTCCCTTGGCTGTGGTGCGAGGGTAGCCCCAAGCTTGATGGGGAGCGTTGAAATCTCCCGCTATAACTATGGGTGCGTCCACTTTCCTAGCGATCGTAACGGCTTTTGATAACAATGAGGTGAAGCGATGGTGCCTGCCTTTTGGAGAGCTGTATATGTGGAGTATGAAAATGCTATTTTTAAGGTAGCTGCCGGGCATAATTTCTAAAAGAGAGTGTTCAATCTTGCTATTTGCCATGTGCAAATTGTGCTCAATGTAAGTGTACTTCTTGGACACAAAGGTGCAGATACCGCGGCCATCTGGAGGTTTCGTGATGTGATGGGTGTAGCCTGGCAGGCTCATTGTTTCCGTAAGCGTCTCCTGTAGCATAATAACATGTGGTCGAATTGGCTGGGATTTAATATACTGCTGGAGAGCTGCCTTCTTTGATTGGAAGCCCCAGCAGTTCCACTGCCAAATTACAAAATTTTTAAAGTGTCCCGCCATTGTTGGGACCCTCAAAAGCTCTCTCCTGAGAGACGCTACGGGTTGCCACCTTCTGCACGATCCTTACCTTAGGTATTACTTGGGCCGGAGTAGCCTCGGCTGATTGTAAAGCTTTAACTTGGTCAGCCTCGATCTTTGTGACTCTGCTGTCCAATACCGCAATCGACTCGACCACCGCCCTGAGAGCATTTTTGATATCATTCAAGGTTTCCTTGACCTCTGTTTTGAAATCTCTGTCCTCGTTATTGGCCGGTTGTGCTAGCGCTCTCCTTTTTGTTGGTTTTGCACCTGGATGAACGTCCATGGGTACCTCATCGTGATTCGCATCCGATGTGGCCTCTGTACAGGGAACTGTGTTTGAAGGAGACGGAGACGAAACATGCTGTGATTTCCTTAAGTCGGCTATTTCTGCCCTGAGTTGCTCGACAATGGCCCTGAGGTTAGCATTTTCCCTTTGCATCTGTGCATATATATCTCAGTGTTGCTCTGGATTGGTACCCCCCTTTACCTGTGGTTGGGAGCCCTTGATCTTGGATGTCCAGGCCTGGTGCTGATTTCCTTGCTGCACACCGTTGCGGACGGTAGGCACACGTGAGTTAGAACGGCCCTTGGATCTAGAATGTCCTCTGGATCTCGAACGGCCCCTTGCTCTGCCTCTGGAACGGGATCGCCCTCGCGGTGGTTGTAGCTGTTGGCTGACGTCACGCGGGCGCCAGCATGCTGCTCGGGCGCTCAGTCGTAGCGCGGCCGCCTGCAGCGGCTGATAGCGATAGGAAGTCTCCTCCACTATCTGTGAAGTTCATGTCGTCGGCGTCTTGTTCCGCAAATTCCATCGTATATTGCATCCGTCGCTCTCGTCTTCGTCGACAGACTATGTAGGGCACTTGAAAACGATGCTTACACGTCTTGTCTGCCGTGAAATGTGGACCCCCACACAACTTGCATTCTGGAGTGCAGACGTGACCCTCCGAAGGAGATGACATACCACACCCTCTACAGACGGCCTCCTCTGGATGGGGACAAACATCGGCTCGATGACCTAGCTTTCCACAGGCATAACAGACATCGGTCTGTCGACGATACAGGGTGCAGCGAACCAAACTATTTCCACATATGACGTAATTTGGCACTTTTAGTCCGTCAAAGAGGACGATTACCGTGGTGGAATTCTTGATTCTTTTCACTTGGAGTGCAGTCGGGTTCCTTGGGTGTACAATAAGTGAATAAAGTTGTTCTTGACCGATGTCCGCGTCAACACCTCTGATGATACCTTTGCAGGTGTCGTCGGGGGCAGCTCGGTAGGCATTAACATCAAAACTGGTGGTACCGAGAGTAATGGCGGTGATCTTGGAATACGCTCTGGCGTTCCTCTCCGCTGGAGTGCTTATAACTGCAATGTTCTGCATCATATTCGGGCATACCACGTCTTCCGTCACTTCTTCCTCACTGAGCGCTGCAGCCACTGCTGAGTGCATTCGCGAACTTAATTTGACTCACAGTTCTCATGTCCAGGCCATTTCTAGGCCTCACGATGACTCGATGGTGATCTCTTGGAAGGTAAGGAAGTCTAGACGCAGCGATAAGACGCTTCTTCACCGCAGCCTGGGAGCGCTGAGGCGACCACGCGTCGCCGTGCATGGAGACGCTTGCTCGCGTCTCGGTCCGGGGGTATGCGTCCCACGAAGTTTACGCGTTTAGTGGTAGCCACAGACCATCCAGAATCTTCAAGATCATCGGGAGTGATATCCTCCCCATCGACAGAGACTTGCATAGACATTCCGTGCGTAGAGTGCTGAAACACCCTTCCGAGAAGGGCCGGCGGCCGCTCCGCCGTAGCCTAAGCCTAGCGCGCTCAGCTGAGCAGATGGGCAAACAGAAGAGTCTCGAAAAAGTGTGAAAAAGCTCACCCACAGTGAAATACTTGGTATCGATGTAGTCCGTGTGGTTTTATGCGTCGACTGGCACCAAAAAAATCAGCTGAGAGGAAAAAAAAGAAAAGTATGGGGGAGGGGGGCAGCGCATCACCTCCTGCGACTCTATTCAATTTTCCCCGTCATCCCTAATACTGAGACGCGATATCTTAATCGCACAGCTGCGCACACAGCAAGAGAACGCGCCTCGACTTCTGTAATGGACGGTTCATTCCGTTAATTAAAACGGCCTCCTAATTGCGCAGCAGCGCCGCGCTCGACTTCTGCTAGGCGTGGTTTATTCCGTTAATTAAATTGGCCTCTTAATTGCGCGGCTGCCCCACGCTCGACTTCTGCTAGGCGCGGTTCATTCCGTAAATAAAACAAAATCTGTAATGCGCGGTTCATTCCGTTAATTAAAACGGAATTAAAACGGCCTCTTAATTGCGCAGCAGCACCGCGCTCGACTTCTGCTAGGCTCGGTTCATTCCGTTAATTAAAAGGGCCAGCGTCGCTCATGCACTCGCAAAATGCCCCGCGGATAGCACCAAACTCTTACAAAAAAGCCACAACTACAGAAAAAAAAACATTTTTAACCAAATTTAGCGGCAGTCTGGCAACAACCACTCTTACAGTCTGGCAACCACTTATGCAACGCCAAAAGGAACCTTGCCGAAGCTGCTTCTTGCGTAACTGCGTGAGACAGATACAAAATGCACAAGTTGGAAGCGATGGAATATTACCAGGCGTTCACACGACGTTATTTTCCAAGTAGCTTAAATATGTTGTCGCCGATTACGATAATCGGTTTTCTAAGCTATGTCTTTTCTTGTGGGTGTATACAAAGAAAAAAAAGAAATAAAGTTGAAGATATGCTGGGAGCACTATAAATATTCGCTCAAAATTGCCACCTTAAGCGTCTTCTTAAAATTAAACAGTGCCGCAAGGCAGTCGTGCCTTGCGGTGAAGTGCACGCTGTGTATTGCGGTAAAGCATACATATTGCGCGCGCTCGTGTTTAAATTGGAAATGTAGCACTGACATTGGGCCTCGTGTGTGCACCTAAATTGTACACGCGCTATCCTCTGCCTCATCAGTGACGATGCGGCAGTCAGTATCGTCATCATCTTCAGCTTGTGTAACAAGCACAGAACAATTTACCTAGTAAAATATATTTTGTGGCAGGCAATTCGCAAGGCATTCATATGTTAGTTCATTGCAGGATTAATTCAAGATTGTGAAATGGCACCTTCAAATAAACGAAACATGCATATGAGAGGCTTCAGTCGTACTTCAAAATTTGTGCCATGACTCAAATTGAAAATGATTATAAAGGAAATATATGCTAAGGCTGGGTGTAGATTACCATTCACAACTCAATTACCATTCATATTTTAGAAACTTAGAAAATTTGTAGCTCATGTTTTTCTATCGAGTAAGCACAAAAATAACTGTTGAAGAATGGTCTACAATTACTCACACAGTTTGCAAGAAATAGATCTTTGAAACGTATGTCGTGCCAGAACTAAGTGCAAGGTGGTTAGAGGAAACTGGTTATGACCCGACATAATAGCGCATGTTCGAACGTTTTACATGGGCTGCTTGTTGGCAAATTGGGGTGGGAATTAGGTAAGTGCCTGCAGGGATCTGCACCAAGAGACGAAACCTGCTACATCTTTTTCATAAATTTCATTATTTGTGTCAAGCATGCGTGCACTCTTCGTTGTTGTGTTCTCTCAGGGAGCAAGTATATGGCATACGGTTGAAATCCATACGTTACCCCTGCGATTTGAAGATGTTATCACAATGGACATGAACGTGCAATGTAGTTGAAAAAGTTGCTGGGCATCAACTTTCTTAACAGTCTGAACCCGCTTATACTACAAAAGTTACCATGTGACTTCAGCCAAATAGTTTCTAACTGTTGTGGTTACTGTCAGATAAAAGTAATAATGAGCTAGTTGTGCTTGGACAACAGTCTTGCTTTACTGTATTAAAATACAGTAATTTAGTACCTGCATATAGAACTGACCACTTAGTTATTTTTTTTTTATTTGTGGTCCTATTTGTTACAGTTTACTTTCAAAATATTTCATACAAGGTGGTTAAGTTTTAAGTCCATACAGTGGGCAAATTTTATCAGCAGTACCGCATGCTGTACAATCACTTTTACTTCTCCTAGAAAGCATGGTGTTCCACTATTCCTGTATGTCTCGGCTGGGCTTCTCGACCTCGACGACTGTACATGTCGAACAGTTTGCCAAGTGTAACTACTTACTCCCCCATAACTCTAGATTTTGTCGAGCCATAATAAATAATTGGCAGTAAGGACCAGTTACAAAACCCTTTTTTTTATGAAGTGCTCATTAATCAGGGACCTAACAATTCTGTACATAAACGATGACAGCAACCACTTCTCCACAGATTGAACGATTAGGTTGTACTAATAAAAGCATTAATATAATCAGACTCTTTTTTTTTTGGAAAGTAAATACAATGCATAGTCTTACCAGTCCGTAATTCAATATTGTAGCGAAACTATCGTTGAAAGCCAGAGTCATTTACAAATGCCATGTGAATTCCCGGAAAGCACTAGGTAGCTTTATATAAATTGAGGATGTCTGCAAAAAAGCAAAAAGCCTACGTTTATGTTGAGCAGAAGTCCAAGTGAACATGCATGCATATGTTCATGAACTAGTTCCCTGTAACATGTGGTGCAACAGCTCTAGCTTAAAAGCTTTAGGCAGCTTGTATGCTGCTCCAAAAAGATTTTAGTTGCACCACAAGCTCCGGATATGCCTTTCATGAGTCACGTCACTGTGCCTTTTGAGTCTTTAAAAAAACAGGTTTGAAGGGGATGCTAAAAATGTTTTTTGAAGGGGTGAGTAGCAGAGAGCATTAATTTATTAATGTCTTCAATTTTATTATGTTAGCTCTGAGGCTTGCAGGTATGTTAAATGAGCATGGTCATATGAGTAACACCTCATAGGTCAATAATTTTGGGTTGACAGCAAGGTATGAAGAGACAGGATTATGAAAATCGCAGAAGTAGAAGTAATGAAGTTGTCGAGAACAGTACATTTACAGGCTTCACGCACAATTTGCTTTCCAGCAGGGTGAATTTACTTTTGCTGATGCTTCCGATGGCATCATTGCACTTCATAAGCACTGGTTTTATGCACTGCACGTGACGATCTTGTTTTTTCAAGGTTCATGTACTGATTAAAAAGTATAGGATCAAGAAACTTACATGCTGTCTTAAGGCATAATCAGGCTCACCATAGAGGTAATTGGTGACATTTTAGTGAGTCGTATGTGGGAGGTCTGTGTACATAACATCATAGTAATCTTGCAATGCTGTAGCTTTATTTGTTGTAACAAGTGAAGCTTCTTTTCCTGTTAAAAATTTCTGCCAAGCAAACAAGTTCCAACAGTAGGATTTGCCCTTGGGTAAAGCAGGTGGTAAGAGTGAGCTTATTCAGAAGCCCTTCAAGGAATTAGTACCTATAGGGCAAAAATTCCAGTGCACCAAGAAAGGCAAGGGAGGACGGTGCAGGTTAACATTTCAGGAGGGTATCTTCTGGACATCATCCTTCTCTAGCCACAAGCTTGTATGGCCAATGTTTAGCAGACTCCTACTAACATAAACTAGGTATAAATGTTGCTTTTCTATTGCAAGATTGCTTTTCTATTGCAAGCACCACTGGAAAAATGAAAAAGCACAGAAAAAGAGCATCAGTCGCAGCTGAACTACAGAAAATATTTACACTGCACCACACATTCGCATCGTCTAGAATTTTCCCTAATAATGTTATGCCAACCTGCCTAGCAACAAGTACTTCGAAGGTAATAAAGTGCAGAATGACACTTGCATAAGACAGGGAACAGGACACGAGTTAACTGCCATTTATCATTTATCTTTGTTTGTGCAGGGTGTCTACCAACCTGGGAAAGTCGGGGAATTGGGGCCTTGCTGGAAAACTGTAGGCACTTTGGTAAAACCTGGCTAATTCATGGAAACTGGCGGCAGTCTGTGCCACCATCACAAAATTAAGCATTACCCTTGATCAATACTCAAAAAGTCACTCCTTCGACTGCAACTACAGTGAACAGCTAGAAGAGGCCTAAAAAAAGGCAATGCATAACTGTTTCTTCTTAGTGTACAAACAAAAGGATACACCGACCAAAATAACACAAAGTTTACTGATGTTTGGGCACCTGATATTGTTCTGAATGACAGCCATAAGAAAGGTACATCGTATTGCCTGTGTCTTTGTGACAGTATTTAAGTATGACTAGGTGCGTGATGTAAGCACCAAAAGTATATGGTCAACGTTCCATAAATCTTATTGAGTATATGTGCAGCTGTGTGAATGTGCAGGGATTCCAGGTGCTGGCATGATGCAAGCTTGTTTTCTTCGACCAGAACACGGTTGCTTGACCAGTCAATTTGAAAGCCTGTATATTCCGCATGTTCAGCGAGTGCATCCAAGGCCACCCATGATTTGGTGACTTCATTTTGAACTGTTGTGTTGTTTAACTCTTTCATTGAAATCACAGGTCTCATAGACTGACATGTTGTCACACTCGTGGCAGACTACAGTGTAAAGAAGACTACAGAAAGTTCGCTCGGCAGCTTATTCTTCCCATTGACTAAAGCATTTCTTAGCTTCCATGTTGGTACATGCACTATTTTGATGTATGTTCCTTCTACATATCACATATCATATCTGACTTTCCAAGCACAGCATTTCTCACATCGGTAAATTTGTGCATATTTGTCGTGGCCACAAATTCGGCTTGGCTTGAAGGCCTTTTAGTTTGGTGCTTATGTTAGAACTGCCATCACAAGAGGTTTGCTGGGCTATGTCTTGCCTTGTATAATATTATTGCTATTATTATTATTATTGGCGATGCAGCTGCAAACGTCCTCCGCTATGCACTTATTGCAGATATTTCAAGAGTAGCACACTCTCTTCTCATTTCATTTCCTTGAGATGGTTATTAAATTCATGAGTATTTTTTTATCATTATGTTCATAGAAGAGTACGTAAATTAAGGTAGCATGAAGGTAACCAAAACACGCAACTTAGCCTCACAAAAAAATCCTACTGGCTTTTTCAGCTTGCCTTTGTTGTACATAGCCTGGTCACTCCTCAAAACGGTGTTCATGCTGTCTGAGACGCATCTGGAAGCTAAGTTGCATGTTTTGGTTGCTGACAAGGAAGGCTTCTTTTCAACTCTAGATGGCTCTATGTATAATGATAAGGTAGCCACTGGTTTGGAAAAAAGCTGAATAAATCATTTTCTGAGCAACTGCAGGCAATCAATTTATGTGGATGGACATGCATCTTCACTTTCACATGCAAAGTCTGGTGTTCCCCAGGGATCAATCATGGGACCAGTTTTGTTTCTCATTTACATCAACGACATTGGACATGGTTTGTCATCTACTATCAAATTATTTACATACAACTACATCATTTATAGAAAAATTGACAGTACCCAAGCTAACGAGTCATTATAGTTGGACCCTAATAAACTCGCATCTTGGTGTCACCATGGCAAATTAACACTTCCAAAACGAAAGCCATGACGTTTACAAGAGCACATAAAACAGAAATGAGTCAATTTGAAATTCAAGCTCTCCCCATTGAAAAAGTATCCCTATTTAAGTATCTTGGAATTCATTTATATTCTGACCTGCCTTAGAATAAGCGCATCGATATCATAACTAGTGAGGTGTCAAAAGCACTTGGATTTATTAAAAGAAACCTTTACTTGGTGAACTATACCTCTAAAATGCTAGCATACACTACACTTGTCCGTTCAAAGATAAAATATGCATCCATCATCTAGAACCCACATCAATCATATCTCATTGATTAACTATAATTAAAATAAAATGAAGCAGCAGGATTTATCACCAAGTGGTATTCTCGCAACTGCAGCACTACAGATATTACACACTCACTTTCATTACCCCTTCTTGAAAAACGCAGACTGTCGTCACTGTTGTTGCATTTTCGTACATTTTATCATAGTAAATGTGCCTTCATGAAGCTTGTACAAACACACCTCATAATATTTTGAAACATATTGATCACCAATTCAAAATACACCCTTTTTTGGCACGCACAGTTATGTATCAACACTCATCATTACTTCGAAGCACACATCACTGGAACACACTGCCAAGCGACATCGCTTGATTGATTGATCGTGCCAACTTTGTAAACCAATTCAATATTTTCTTGGACATATGACTTACCTATATGTGTGAGTTTGTAAGTGCATGTATGTGCTTATTTTTACTCTTCTTTCATTGTAAATATATTTTCTCCTTAATGATGGTAGTCTTGCTTGGGATACTCCAATGCAAAAATTTTGGTCTGTCAGCAAAAAGGCTCAAGTACGACCACATCCACAGCATCCACCAGTATTGCTTAAGTTTCTGCGTTCATACTTGTACGATTGTCAATAAAAAGCAAATATTGAGCATATTTGAGGCACAATATCAACGCGTCGATATTGTGCACTGTGTTTATTTATACTAGAAAAGGTATAAATAAGTAATTCTAAGCATTGCAGCTGACAATGCGACGCTTCGCATGGGAAGGCGAGTCTCCTACGCTTTGCTAAGATGATACTGTGCTGCTACCTGTCTTGAAATCTACAAAATATGGCCTCCAAGATTGCACGCGTGCTGCGTGCTGCATGCTCGCTATAACAAAGGCCATCCTTTCGTTTTCTGAAATTACCGCCAGATGGCACTCATGTCTCACGCAACACCTCCAGGACCCCATTCACCAGTTTTCTTGTGCAAAACATCAAATAAATATTTCTGTCTATTCACTCTTTTCAGGCAAAATACAATAGTCTTTTGACGACATTTTTGGTCAAATATGCAGATAGGGGGCAATTTTTTTCGTGGCAATTTTCTGTATATATATTTTTTTTGTACTATAGCTGTGTCTCTCTTATTGAGTTTTCATTCCTGCCACAATTTTTTTTTCCTTTTGCATCTTTGTCTATGGAGCTGTATTTTACATTGTTTACCACTTTAATTTTATAATAGCAATGTTCTGATTTGCAAATTTATTGTATAACTAAAACCCCCTGCGTAATGCCTGAATGGGCCTTTAGGGTATATATCAATAAAGAAAAGTGTTGATGCACAAAGCGGGTGACTGACCGAATAAGTTTATGCCCTGTTACTAACGCTTAATCAGGAACATGTAGCGGCAAGTGTGAAAAAGCAAAAAGGCAAAAACTATCAGTTTTTATTTCAGTGAACATTCATGTTGCCACTAAGAGCTGTTGTTTCAGAAAAAGACACTTGGTAAATAAATGTTTGAGAGTATATTCAAAGAAATTCGGAGCGTTTGAAGACTTGTGATCCGCTAAGAATTTCTAACTCAGAATCTATCATCTTATCACTAAGTGAACAACCTTCTTTGTGCCGTAATGCATTCGGTATAGACGTAAAAGATTTATATTATTGTTTGCCCCAATGTGAAGATTTGAAGTGTATAAAGCAGTGCATGAGAGAAGGTAATGATGAGTTGTTGTTTCAGTGCCAGTGTGGCATCTCTATTGCGTCATTTTTAGAGCTCATGCAGGCCACCTAAATTCTACCGTTGTGTCTTGGAAGGGAAATAATTTTGTCCAAAAATCTGGTATCTGCATTGAATCATGAATATACCTGTAATTAGTTATATTTTTCTTGGGTATGTAGACGGGCAGCTGCAAAAGCATTTGAATTGGTTATCATCACACGCTGTTTGATATGTCCATGACTTCTTAGTTCTACTGGACATTAACAATTGCTCTTTACTGGTTGCTAATATAAAGAAAGATGTTGAGGAAAACGAAATGTCAGCGTTTCACTTTGGAGTTTCAAAAAATTGATGAGCTACAGCTTCTCGATTTAAGACAGGCTTTCGTCAAAGATCACATATATAGCAATACCAACCTAGATTCATAAAGCCAATTCAAAATTTCAATTCTGGCCACTCAAAACCATACAGGGAGCCATTGCGTCAAATGTGCTGGGTGCCGCTCTTCAGAAGTTACGCGAGCACCTTATGGCGCATGCATTTGATGCACAAGTTGCTCGCCTTGCAAATTCTGGCTTTCCGAGTGACGTGATTTGCTCCTTGTCGGAAAAACTTATTTCAAAGATCGAGAAGTTTTATCATTGTCATTCTAGTGCACTAGAAATTAGCAAGAAAAAGAGGCAGGCAGTTATTCCATACATACACAGGATAGCACATGGTTTGAAAAATGTTGGTGCTCGTTATTGCATAAACATGTCATTCTCAGCACGTAATAAAGTGCATAATGTGTGTACTTTGGTGGATAGAGCATTGTGTCAGCAGCCAGGGAAAGGGAACAAATGTGTCTCCAGTCATGTCCACAGATATGCTCCTTGCACTACTGGCATGGTTTATGGGATTCCCCTGTCTTGCAGCTGCGAATATGTAGGTGAAATGGGCATTACATAAACATGTGCTTAAGAGAGCATGGGCTAATGCTTTCAGATGCTAAAATTACGTCTAATTTGGCAGCTTGTTGTAGGCCATGTGGATCTGTGCTCAGGGCTGGGCAGAGATGCCCGAAAAAGTATTCTGGAATGCAGATATCGAAATGCGTGGTTTGGAAGCATAAAATACAGATACTGAGATAAATTTGTAATTCATGTGACAGGATATTTCAGAGATACGTTTGCAAAAAGACAAAAAAGTATTCCAGAATACATATACTAAAATACTTTTGTCTATGTCGGGGATAGTTATACTCCATACAAACATTTGTTATGTGCAGCATAATATTTAAAATGTGCAGCACATTGAAACTTCCAAATGAAATTGATTTATTATATTTTCGCCATTCACCGAGTGTCATTAAGGCATTACAAAGGATGCTTACACTGCACATAATTGTTAATAACCACATATTTACAGATATCAGTTGCAATAAAGAACTATGCCATATGAGAGCATCAGTCGCACGCATTGTACACTGAAATCCAAAACTCAACAGCAACACTATTAGTTATGCTAGAAGGAGCATAGTTCAAGGGAAGTGCTGGAACCATAAACAAACGAACTTCCAGTTGAAGGTTTAGTGTT